AGAGTAGCCCAAGATTTGACGGTGGTGGTGATGACTAGCTGCCTTCCCTCTAGTCTTTCACTGCTAAATTAGGGACGGCTAGCGCAGATAAACCTCGTGTAGCTTTGCGCGAAATTCGAAACAAACAAACAAACAATCTTTCCGGGAGTTGCGTAATTAAAGGTTTATTGTTTTCGTTTTTCATTTGCGTGTATACTTCCGTTGTTGTCGAAGGAAATAAATAAGAGCTTAAAATAAACGAATATTCACACATATTATGTCTATAGAGCTTTCGAATTTCAAAGAGTGCCGTTTGTGTTCATTTCGTATTTTTTTTCTTTCAAAATTACTTTTTCTGTAAATTATTTATCCTTACTCGACTGTCCACCGGTAGAATCAGAGGCTCGATTCCCCGCGGTAAACGCACCAGATAGCCCTATATAGCTTTGCTCTAAAAACAACCAACCTTACTCAATCGCATCAACAATGAACAGCGTTCAAAGATTTTAAACAATACATCTGATATTCTTACTGTTTTCAAGATGTCTTCCTTTTCTACCCTGCCGGGAACATATCATACCATAAATTCTTAGGCCAGGTATGCTAGCAAGGGGAGGGTCTTTATGTTGAATAGGACCCTGAAGTTTCCCGGTCAGAGGGCACTGGCAAATCATTAGATAATGAGCCTTTCCTGTGCGCAGGCTCTGCATTGCCATCAAAGTCCATTCTTGCTCCTCCTGGCAGATCTTAATTGTTGTTGCAGGCTCGCACATCTTCAACTGAGTTTTCACCTGTGTGAAAGAAAACAGAACAATCCATTTCTGTATTAAGGTGTGAAATCAATAATCGATAGGTTTCCAACACTGCGTTACGTGTGAAGTGGTACTTCCCAAAAATTAGATATTTTTACAAATATTAAACACAATTTTAAATCATTAGATTGCTACGTACTAGCTGGAGTACTATTAGACAGTACTATTATATTTATACAGACAACAGGCAATACTATTATATTTATATAATATATATTATATATATTACTATATACAATATATATAGTATATTACTTATACTCTATATATTACTTATATAGACAACAGACAGTACTATTATATTTATATAGACAACAGACAGTACTATTATATTTATATAGACAACAGACACTACTATTAAACTACATACAATTCGTGAGAAGAAAATT